ATGTAAATCTCCTTAATATGATGAGGATATTGTGGCGAACAATTATAAATTTTAAAGAGAAAATATATCAATGTTTTATATTTAAAATTAAAGCACATCCCTTGTCTATTTGTCATATTTAGCACCGTAGGGAGTTATTTTTTTAAAATAATCTCTATTGATTGCTCATATTTTATTAAGAGATTAATTTTACTGCAAATAATTAAATAATTATTTTAATAAAATAAATATACATTTTTTAAAATAACTAATTTAATTAATTTTGTTAATCTTTTAAAATTAATTACATTTAGCAAAAAATTTTAATTTTGGTACCCGTGTTTTTCTCTCTCTCTGTTAAATACTTTAATTTTGCTCCATCAGCACGGTTAGATCCAATAATTTTGCTTTGTTCCCACTATTAGCTTCTCTACCGGAATTAACGGTGTTAACAGTACAAAATTAAAGCATTTAATTAAGATAAAAACACACAGATATCAAATTAAAAATTGAGAGAAAGCACATCTACCTACAAAATAATTTTATCCACAAATAATATCATCTTCAAAAACATTTTAACCATTATTTCACTTTTTAAGAGAGCCATGTATGTCATATAATTATAAAAATCATAATCTATACTTTTTTTCTCTTTAATAAATAGTCTTAAAAACTGATTTGTTAACTTATAAGATAAGCCTATAGTTGGGTTCTCAAGTGACCTCAATGGAGAAAGTCCTACCAGTGAAATAGATGCTAAGTGGCTTGTGACTTGGGAATATACCTTATATCATCATATAATGCTCTCACAATTGGGGTGCAACAGATGTACCATAATCCACTGTCCTTTTCATATTATTTATATTATATTTTTCATGCGTTTGATTTTTTCCTCTTTAAAAAATATTTTATTTAAAGCTAATGGGTTTTTTAAATGATAGTTAAGATTTTAATAATATAAAAATCCTATATAATATGCAAGATTTGGTAACGGATTAGGTGATTATTGTATTTGGTAGCTGGGTAAGTCCACTAGAAGGGCCATGAAGGTTGCACCAATTTGGCCCGCCGTGGTTTCTGTCTATTTTAAAATATGAGACCAAAACCTACTCTTAATTTATAAACAATATAACTTGTTTTGGCTTTTGTGTAAATATATGAAACCTACTATATTTTTAAAAATCAATATTATTATATTTAAAAAAACATTTATAATAAATTGTACTGTATAAAAGTAGTGACTTATGTGTCAAATTTGTGGCAATATATATATATACTCCTCCGGTCCTAATTATAAGACCCAATTGACTTATTTGAGGAGATTAAGGAAGTAAGAGTTAAGTTGGTTATTTATAATAAATAAGTGTTGTTATTCCTAAAATATCCTTGCTAATTAAGTATATTGGCTAAAACTATCATTATTAGAAGGATTATCTTGAAAAAAATACATAAATATAAGAGACAAAATGGATTTGGGTCTTATAATTAGGACCAAATAAAAAGTCAAATAGGGTCTTATAATAAAGACAGGAGGAGTATTTAAGAACATAATGCAGCACACTTTTTTTTTTAATAATATTTTTGAATTTGAATTTGACATATTTCTTAATTTTTGACTGTGAGATGCATTTGAGAGAATCGAATGAGAAAAATTGCTGAAAAATCCTCCATTGTAAAACTTCTTTCCCAAAAATATTTAAAGACTCAAGTCCTTAAATGGATGCAACTCATTTTTTGCCAAATCAATTATCCTTTATATATGTGCAATCTATGTTAACTATACACAAAACATTTATACATAACTGAAGATATGTTGCGTACAGTTAAAAATAGTTTCCCACTTTATTTTTGTTAAATAGTCAGGCCAATCACCTTAAAACTTGCAAAATAATTACAATTATAAAATCATAAAAAAGTTCTTGCTCATGAAGCTGAGTCAAACATGTTATCAACATGATCACTAAAATATATAATATAGACCTAAACTTAAATATTTAAATCAATCCGTATATTTTTAATTGATTTTTTTTTTTGACCAGGCATATATATTTAATTGATTTGAAGCAAAGGCTATCTCGTAGAGCACATATTGCCTAAAAAGTACGAGCACTTCTCAGCACAGGACCATATGAGACTCAGAATAGCCACATGAAAGTGACAGGGATGAGATGAATCATCAGATCCCTCAGAACACTTCTTCGCGGGACCACAGGAAAATACAGCAGCTACAATGGCATTACACAAAATTAGACCACCCTTCCCGCTAAGGCACCTTTAGCAGAAAGCTCAAAGCTGCCTTCTTTTTACTACTTCTGATATTTTTGACCTGTATATAAATCAATGAATTTCAATAATACATATGAAATTCTATCAATTCAGTTTAGTAAAAAGAGTTAATTCCTCATAACTTGACAAATCAAAATTCGAATCCCTACTAGAAGAGATACTCATTTTTAACGCTTGACAGTGTTTCGAATAGAGATAGAAAAATATCAAAGAGAATACCTCATAATGTTATTGAACACGGCCTTTTCATTAATCAATTATTTAATTATTTGGTTATTAATAGAGAATAATGATGTTATTTGATCTTCTGCATCCAACTGCAATTAAGACTTATTATTGTTGTTGTATGTATCCTTTAAATCCCATATAACAGAGATTATTTCATTCCAGCACAACCTTATAAAGCTTCATATAAATTTTTTTTTTGGGGGTCCATTTTCTTAATGGGTAGACATATGCAGAAACTTTGTTAGGCTTTAGGAAAAGCACAAAAGAAGGAGGGCAGCTAAATAAAGTTATGGCGCTTGATTCAGAAAATGGTAGTCACTAGTAGTAACTTTTCTTATCCACTCCCACACAATTCTTTTAATAGATAGTGACCTGAACAGTGGATAAAAATAATGCACCACATTCTTCAGGCTTCCAATCATGCACAATGAGAATCAACTTAAAAAGTCTATTATGGAAAAACCAATAAGCATTCTTTGCTTGATTGATTTGTTCATCAATTTCCTCCACAAATAGGATTCCCCTCACCCTTCATTTGTGGCCTTTTTTGTGCACCTGTGATAAGGGAAAATCCCAAATCAGTCCAATTTCTGGTAGCAAAAAATTTAGAATTAGTTTTCTGAAAGGAAATATCTACTACCATTTTTTCTTTTTTTGTAATATAAGATGTGAACTCTTTGATTTTTGTAACTCTGGTATCATACGGTTGATTTGATTCTTTTAATATAATTTCCCATGTATCATAGTTCTATAAAAGAATGGGAAAATTGCAAAAAAAAGACTTTAGAAGTAGAAAAATTACAAAATAGGAACCCATTACAATATTAATATGGATTTGATAATAACTGATAAGGAAATGATAACAATTTTTATGAACGAATTCCTGTATGTGATTTTTCAATTTTTAAGGTCTTTTTTTGTGATTTTTTCTAAAAAAATTCTATAAGAAACGAATAAAGAATGAATCAATAAATCGCTTCATATATAATTGACTTCTTTTAGGAAAGTTCCTTCACATGTCTCATTGAAGAATTCTGCCACAACCTACTACGGAAATAAGTTATGCTGCCTTGTCAAATAATACTAAAAAGGTACACAAGAAAGCTAGCCAATAGCTGTTTAGCTACTTTGGTCTTTATTTAAAGAGAAAATTAATAATTTGGTTTCCTATATTTTACTCTCTAATTTAGTCTTTTTTTTTTTTTGACCAGAAAGACTCTCTAATTTAGTCTTAGAGTTTAAAGATTTTCAGTTCACTCGCAATAAATTCATTTTTTTGACATTAATCCCTTTAATTTAGAATGTTTGTGATTGAATCCCTTTTTCGGCCAACGGGCTCTGACGTCATTAATCAACAATGCGAAGGTATAAAAACCGTATCATCGCATGGATTTTGAATGCCTAATGCAACTTTTGGTACATCCCCTCTACGTCCTCTCACTATGTCAGAATCATTGAACCCCTCTTTAACTTTTACAGGTTGGTTCATTTGAAACGTCCCGCTAAGGTCTTATACATTATACAAAAGAATTTTGGGCTGTTTAGAAATTATAAAGCTCTCAGTAGTACTGATACATGGACATTCAATTATTGTTTTCAGTTTTTTATCAAGTATTTCCTGCAATATATCATGTGATAAGCATGAAGTCTCATCTCAATGATCATACTATATCTTTCTTTTTTTAAAAAAAAAATACAGACTTCATGTTAAAGGCATTTGTAATTTTTATAATGTAGATCACCAAGAGCATTATAATGGTAAGGAAGTTGAGTGATAACTGGGTGCTCCCATACAAAAGTCCAGCAACAGCACACATTATATGCAAATTATTTATTATTTTATTTTTATTCACTAAAACTCATCCAAAAACTTCTTACCAAGAGTTATCCCATAACAGTTGTGGTTGCAGTCAACTCTTGATTTGTCCTCTTGGATAACAACAAGGCTCACAATTATTCACACAATGACAAGAGGCAAAGTGGAAGAGGGGAATCATCTGCCTGCTTCCTGGCCATGGCCCTTGATTACAGGCATAACATAAAATTTACAGATAATAAACTGTCCCATTAATTTGTGCTGAGAAAAAAACATGCTTACTTAAATCTCTAAGGTCCCCGGGACAATTTTAGACAAGCAAATGAATCATACATTATACAACAATTCAGTTATTGTTGATATCATCAGGTTTAGAAACCCGTGCTGGTCATAAAGAGATTCTTGTATGATGAATGATATAAATCAAGTATCTGCACAAAGTCTATAAGTGAGTTCAAACACATCCGAGAGAAGAGAGAAATAGGTCAATCTAGGAGTTGCAGACAAATTGAAACAAATAGAATGCAGACAGATAGACCCAAGGATAGCCAAAAATTCATCAGTCCATCACCAGGGCACCAGCTGTTTCTCATTATATGACATTGGTCAAGTGCAGCAGATTACGTTGGGAAAGAACTGAGAGAAAATAAGCCCCTTTGGTTTGAAAAGATGGGTGTGTACTACAGAGGATTTTGCGTTAAGAGTGGATGTTGACAGAAAATTTTTTGTAAAGATTTGATTCTACCAATTGTAGGAGCGCTGAAAGCAGCCTGCTGCTGCAGGTGTCGTTTCTATATCTTTGCCAGAGGCCACTGGTGTTCCCACAATGCTTTCTCTAATATTGAGTTCCTCTCTACTTCTAGGGTGCTAGAGGTAAATCAAGCCTACTTGACAAAATTGCTAACACTGGCGCATCTTTTATCCCCCTTGGAGTTGACACACATGCCTCTATATGCATGTAGATAGAGAGTTGCGTTTCGTGCACAAATGAGAACTAGAAACCCATTGGTTTCAAAATGCTTCTCACATTTACATCTTATATGCTTCTTCTGTAAGGTAAGACAAATATTTTCACATTTTTTACTGTGGGGATAGCTGCAATAAATAGAACATACCACACAAATGTTGAAGGAAAGAACATTATCTCGTTTCAAGCAGCAAGGGGATCAAACAAAAGGATAGGTGCGTGGCAAGGTGTGGTTCTATGACTTCTACTTTTCCCGTTTCTTACCAGAAATCTTGACAGTTGCAGATTCCACTCTTAAAATGATGAAATCTACTTGTGTCTCTAACTATTATTTCCCTCTCTGTTATAAGGGTTATAAATTTTATTGCAGTGTGGCAGTCAACACAAATTCGGAGATTCTTTGTAACTACTATAGGCTTCCTTGGGTTAATATTAAGAATTCCAAATGCAATGGCTATTTTTTCGCTGTGAGAAAGGAGATTCTGCTCCTTTTCCTCTTCTTCAACATCATGAAGGGAAGAACTATAATCTGCGCGGTATCCCAATTTTTTCATCTGCACCAGAAGTTCCTCTAACTTTCTATTAATGGATACTGATTGTGGATGGGATTGATCTCCACCAATAAATCCATGGATTACTCCAGAGACCTCAACCCAACTGCATCCTGGACTTTTCTTGTAACCTTGATCCCTTTGTATGATTCTAATGTGTGCTGCATCATCCCATCTCCCTACAGATGAATATATGTTTGACATAAGGACAAAATTTCCAGTACATTCAGGTCCCAGCAACTGGATCTTCTTTGATATTTCTTCACCCATTTCAATATTTTTGTGGATCCTACATGCTGCAAGCAATGCACCCCATACACGAACATCAGGTTCAAATGGCATCCTTTGAATGAAAGTGTATGCCTCATCCAAATATCCTGCTCGAGCCAGAAGGTCAACCATGCATATATAATGCGCCAACCTTGGCTTGATGTTGAAGTCTTGGATCATAGCGTTAAACCAATATTTTCCTTCCATGACACGTCCTGAATGACTGCACGCAGATAATACAGCAAGGAGGGTCACATCATCTGGCTTTAATCCTGACGCCTTTAATTCATGGAATAGTGAAAGTGCTTCTGTGCCTAGCCCATGAATGCCATAACCAATTATCATTGTATTCCATGATACAATATCCCGCCTTGGCATCCTGTCAAATACTTCCCTACTAGTATAAATATTTCCACACTTCGAGTACATGTCAATAATGGCATTACAAATGGAGATATCTACTGTGAATCCGCAGACAATTGAGTAGCCATGGCAGCAGGTCCCATGTTGTAGCGCAGCTAAATGTGAACAAGCTGGAAGTAGGCATACCATAGTTGCCACATCGGGGGCAATGCCAGATAACTGCATCTGGCGAAAAATAAGTAAAGCCTTCTCTGCAGAACCATTTTGCACACACCCAGATATAATAGCACTGTAAGAAACCTTATCCTTTGAGGTCATTTCATTAAAAAACCTAATTGCATCATCCAAAATCCCACATTTTCCATACATAGAAAGCAGTGAGTTCCCAACAGTTGTATCTATATCAAACCCTGATTTGATTGTATAACAATGCAAATGTCCTCCCTTAACCAAATCAGTGAGATTTGCGCAAGCTCGTACTATGCTTGCAAGCGTAACAGGTGTAGGGTTCATCCTAGGTTTTAATACCATCTCATCATAAAGTGCCATTGCCTCCTTCATGGAATCACATATAACATATCCTCCAATCATAGCACTCCAGCATATCTCATTCTTTTCACTTGTCATGTCGAAGATTTTCCTTGCATAGGATATGTTATGACACTTAGAATACATATCCAGAAGTCCAGTTGCAACAACCACATTACCACTGAAGATCTTCCTAACAGAGTAACCATGGATAGCCTTCCCTTGGCGTAATGCATTAACTTGTCCAACTGTCGGTAGAGCTGCAACAATAGTCGAAGAGTTTGGACTTATTCCCCTTTGCTGCATTTGGACAACTATTTGTATCATTTCATCATAAAGTCCATGAAGTGAGAACCCCGCAACTAGAGCATTCCATGCAACAATATCCCTGTGGGACATGCTATTAAACAATCTTTGCGCTTCAAACAAATCCCCACACTTGGCATATAGGTCAACCAAAGCGGTTGATATATAAATGTCCGATTCAAGACCATGTTTCTCTGCATGCTCATGTATTTCTCTCCCAATCTCTAGTGCTTGTAGGCTTGAACAGGCTTTGATAACGAAAGGGAACGTGAATTTGGATGGTCTAACTCCCCGTTTCAGCATCTCATAGTACAAATCAATAGCCTTTTCAAATGGTCCATTCCAGGCGTAAGCTCTGATTATCATGTTCCATAAAATGACACTTGGCTTTGGAATTTTGTCAAACACTTGACGAGCAAGTTCAATCTCATTACATCTAACATACAGATGGGTTAATTTTCCCAGGATCGTGAAATCCTTGATAAAGCCATTGTGTTTAAGGATGCGTTCATGTATTTTCTTCCCTTCGGACAAAGACTTGGATTGAATACAGGCTTCAAGTTGCGCCACATAATTAGAAGAACAAAGCTCCTCTGAGACAAAGTTCGATCCTTGGATGGCTGTTAGGCCACTCCATTGGTCAGGCAACGAATTGGATCTCTTGGGCTGAATAGAAAAACTACTTAATCCTCGACTAGCAGCGACTGGAAGCAAAGCCTGGTACCGTTTGGAACATGTTCGCCAAGGCATTGTTACCCAAGTTGAGACTTTTATGGATTTCCAGTTCTTATTACTATTTATTGCTTCAAAGAGTTAAACTTAGAATTATCAATTACGAAAGACCAGAGCGAAACAAATCCAGAGAGAGCTGCACAGAAAGCAAAGGAGAAATACTCAGACCAACTCGCACAGTCGTGTGCAAACGCACTACACTTGAAAGAAGACTTCCTATAAGCACAAAGTGGGAAGGAAGCAAAGGTTGCTTGTAGTTGCAGGGCTTGACATAGATGGCTTGCCATTGCTTGTGGTAATCAGAAACGTTCAAGTGGTCGCCGGCGACGCCACTGGGAATTTCGCCGAGGGCATGAACCCGAGCTGGTCTCTTTCCAGGCTCGCGCCATTTTCAGAAGAAATGTTTTGGGCTTTTGACCCAAATAAAACCCACAGGAACATTTGCATAAAAAAAAAAAAACTCTTTTTGCCAACCATAAAAAAATAAAACTACTTGTGAGTGGAAATTTTGTATATAAAAAAATTAAATTCAAAGAATAACATAATAATCCCATTTAGAAACCGATAATATTTTAGTTTGGATTAGGGGAGGCTATTGAATAGCATATGGTTATCTACAAAATATTTCTAAATCTATTAAAATAAAATTAAAGAAGAGTCTAACTTAATTGCAAACTAATAACCCATGCATATATAGAGTGTCCATAAACTAAAAATAATTATGACTAATTAAAAATCGTGACAAGCATCGATTTAATCTTACTCAACCTATTTTCATTTTCATATGGCAGCTAAGATTGATAAATTTAAATTGAGTCCAGCACTTCCCTCCATAAAGTAGTCAATCATAGTAAGGAATTTAAATTTGAAATTATTTTTATATATTATTTTATTCAATTAAAATTTTTACCCTTAATCATGAACTGATAAAGTCTTTGGAATTATTTTATTTTATCGAGGGCATAATGGGCACAGTGATAAGTTTTCAGAATCAATTTATTTTTTCAGAGGAATCCTATGGATTATAAAAATCTTCATACATGTCACAAAATGGTGTAAAAGAGCAAATAAGGACATAAGGCATACCAATCAAAGTACTTGTTTAGATTCTCTCACCTTCATTCTTTTAGCACAAATCAAAATAAATCCAAATGCAAAATCGCCAGACTAAAATAGAAGTGCTATGTGGTATGATGAGTCTGATCACCCTTAAATGCCTTGCCACAACAATTAAAATTAAGTTGATAAACTCTCCAAACCAGGTACTATCTCTGAGAGTTACTAAATCAATTTGAGTAAATTAAAAAAAATAGTTAAGTCAGATTTGTAATAAATATAAGTTAATTTTTTTAAAAAATATCCTTTTTAATTATGACCAGACGGCAATCCCTTGATATGTATAATTAACAAGGATATTTTAGATAATAGATTACCAATTTGAAAGATAAAATTAATTGAGGTCAAATTCAATCTCCAAACAACTATTCTAATAAGAACTGATGAAGTTAGTATTAAGTTAGAACAATACAAGATCTGCAAATACTCCTAAAGGAATGGCCATTGAAAAGTGTATAAACGAGGCACTCTTCTTTTGAAACACAAGTGTGATGAGAAATAGTACAATGGAGGGGAAAATGAGATCTTGAAAGACAAGGTTAAAGGAAGAAGGAACTATATGGTTCAGAAAAAGAGGAGGTTGTAAGAATAATCCAAATAGGAAAGCGAAACAAGAGTAGTGATAAAAGTGAAGCGATGCAGCATATTTAGGGATTATTGCTGAGTAATGATTGCGTAGAAAGTTCATCTCATAAAAGCAAAAGTCACCACTCATCTCATCACAAAATTTAAAAAGAAAAAGAAGAGTGTGAGAGAGAAACCAAAAGAAAAGTTACTCCAATTCAATGTGTATTTCCAAGGTTTCACTTCACCTTCACGGTTTTCCCTTTGCATTTCTTCAACATATAATTTTCTTTTCTTCATTGAAGTTTTATATGCATCTCCATCATACTAATCCAGAAAATAATCTTTTCTAACTGTTGTTGGGTTTAGTTTATTTTTAAGTAATTTTGCGCTATATAAGATGAATAAGTTGTCTTATAAAGTGCAAAAATATTCTTTTTAGGACGTTTTCAAACCAAAATTGTGTTTTATATAAATTCTTATTTGAGAATATTACATCTTATTTTAAATATAAGGTGTAGTTTGTAGTCAACTGTACTCCCCCGTCCTAAGTATAAGAATCTTATATTTAGGACAGGAGGAGTATTACTATTTTAAATATAAGGTGTAGTTTGTAGTCAACTGTACTCCCCCGTCCTAAGTATAAATCTTATATTTAGGACAGGAGGAGTATTACAAACTAGAGGCAGTATATATTTTTTAATCAATAGATATTAGTTCTAATATGAAAAGTTATAGTCGCCGGAACATGAAGTTTTGAGTTTGAGTTCGTATAAACTCGGGAAGAAAAAAAAAAGTCTTTGAGAGTTAATTTTAGTCAATTCACCCTAGAACAAATGACATAGTATCATATATGAGTTGATTTTATTTTATTACTTTCTTGAGTATATAAACGTTAATGTAATATTACGCAATGCTAACAAAATGTAATAGTAAATTGTAAAATTTTAGCCGTTTAATTAAAAAAAATGATAAACCATAAGGCTGACATTAAATGAAAAAGAATTAGCCTTCTAAAAATATTGATGTTATGTTGGTCAAAAAAATATTGATAGGAAAAGTAACAGGGGTCAAGGAGAAGTTGGACTAATTGGGAACTTTCTTTCTTTCGCTGTTTGGGTTGGTTATTTAGCTTTGGAGTGAATTAGGACTTTGATACTTACTCATGTGCTGTCATTTCCCAATTTGGTAACTTGATTCCAACATCTATGATCCCACACCGAATCTTGAAAGCTCATTTTTGGATTAGTGTTTTGTCCATTCTGATTATCCCAATCTTGTTTTTGCTTTAATAAAATTTTGGAGCAGCAGCAACAAATGATATTAGTAAAACTAATGCCAGCTCAAAAGAAGCCTGGGTTTTGTGACATTGTTTGAAAATTAGTAGTTAAAAAGAATTCAGTCTAATAAAAATGACTAATATTTTATAACCTGACGAATTAAGGTTTACATTCTCATTAGATGAGATGCTATGATTGTTTTTAATAGAAAGATATTTGCGAGCTAGAAAAAAAAATGGGGACCTACACTAATATTACTAGTACAAAGAAAGAAAAAAAAGAGGAAAAAATAGCAAAAAAAGACTGCTGAAATAGAAAAATTGTACATAGGGACCTGTTCACAAAAATTGCTATCAAAACCCATACTAATGTTGTAATGGGTTTTAATTTGTAATTTTTCTATTTCAATAGTTGTTTTTTGCCATTTTTCCAAAAAAATCTATCCTTAATTAGGACTCATTTTGTAGGATTGGAGAAAGAGCCTATCTCCCTCTAATCTTAACTGCAGTAGAATGTCAACATTAACGAACCAAGCGTTCATTTTCTTCCCTTGGGCGCATACAAGTTCATGTCATTTGTACTTAAAATGTTTTCCATTTCTAATTACTATAAACCATTGTCATATAATTAGCACAGGTTGATTTAAAAAAAAACAATAATGAAATTATAGTCTCAACATCAAAGTGATAAAAAAACAAAAAGCGCAGAAAATTAAATGAATAATTAACAGGACAATTTCTCAGGAATTTCATCTCAATGACCTCCTGCACGGCCTCCCATTTTCTTTTTTCTTTCTTTTTGGGAAAATGTCATCATTAAAGAAATAAAAGGTCTATTACTTAAAATAAATATAAAATGGAAAGCATTGGATTAAAAGGAAAATGCTAGATTTGCATTCATAATTAAAATGGAGATGCATATATATATATATATATATATAGAAGTATTATTGACAAAAAAAAAAGTGCATAAAAGGCTTGTATCAAACGTTATGCCAGAATATGTAAGTCTGTAAAAGAAAAAGAAAGAAGATAAAAAACTCAAAGATAAGGAGCTTTGGTTCCTTTTATTTTCGTCTCTTGTAAGTATAAATAATGGTGGTTTGGGATGACTGAAGAGTCTTGCATCTACAACAGCAAGAAGAGAAAATTAAAAGGAGGCAGACAAAGACAACATGGCCAGGGTCGGATTACCACCGGGTTTTCGGTTCCATCCGACCGACGAAGAGCTTGTCAATTATTATCTCAAGAGGAAGATCAATGGCCAAGAAATTGAACTTGACATCATTCCTGAGATTGATCTCTACAAATGTGAGCCTTGGGAACTTGCAGGTTTGTTCTTCCCTCCCAAATGCCATTTACTATTCTCTCATCTTCATCATATTTCTCTGGTACCTGTGTCTATCTATACTAAATCTTAGGAGTGTACTTCCTTGCATTAACTTAACACACTGAAATTTGATTTCTTAAAATAGACTTTAGTTTTCTTTCCTACGTTGGCCTGCACTTGCACATTTTTCAGTCTTACCACGCAAGAGAAGTGCAAGTCATTATCAGAATTGAAAGCAGTGTGTGTGTGTGTATGGTGGATTCAGTGTATGCCATACATGTTGTATTGTGATGTGAAGCATAATGAAGTGAATTTGATGCATAATTTGATAATGTGTACCAAAACATAAGGAAAGATGTTGAGTTGGCTGATTTTGGTGTGACATTTTGTTGGGCATTGTGATTGATGATGAGGCAGACAAGTCATTTCTGCCAAGTAGAGATCCAGAGTGGTACTTCTTTGGACCCAGAGACAGGAAATACCCTAATGGTTTCAGAACTAACAGAGCCACTAGAGCTGGGTACTGGAAGTCCACTGGCAAAGACAGAAGGGTCACTTCCCAAAACAGACCCATTGGCATGAAGAAAACTCTTGTTTACTACAGAGGCAGAGCCCCTCAAGGCATCAGAACTGACTGGGTCATGCATGAGTATCGCCTCGATGATAAAGAATCCGAGGACACCTCCGGAATTCAGGTAAATTACCCATCTTCTCCATATCTTTGTTACCAATCAAGTTCTCTAACAAAAACATAATTAAACTTTTATGAGAAAAGCTAATCCTAGTGCTTTTATAGTAAATGTCCTAAAATGTGTAAGCCAGTTATATGTGTTCATCAATATGATGTTTCATATGGTGAATTAGGATTTAGGATTCAGTTATCTCAGTCTCATGACTTGCATGGAGATTTTTGGTGGATGGGAAAATATGAGCATGAAGGTTTTTAGTGGTGGGAGATTCCAAAAGTTCTACAAAGAGTACATTGCATAAGTCACATCTCAAAAAAGCAAATGCTTTTGTCTTCAAAACTAGTTCTTGTTGGCGTCCCCACAGGCCCCACACCTACCCTTTAACAACTTTCAGAACTTTCTTTTGCCTGTGTATCCACTTGTCGTCACCCACATATTTGACCTGAAAAAAAGGAAAAACACAAAACGCAAAAGCATGAAGTTCCATTCTTAAGACAGTCACAAAAGCATTTTCCCCTCATTATATTCACCTTCCTCTTTCACATCAAAGACAAGAAAGAAATCTATAGTTTCAGTTCCTTAGTATATATCTCCTTCACTAAACCAGGGTCACCCCAGAACAAACAGTCACAGAGAGTAAAACTTGAAGTTGCAGAAAGCAATGTGCATAACTAAATGTGTAATGCCTGATGAGAACTGTAGGGAAACGTAGGATCTGCATGACATGCATGAAAAAGCCTGTCTTTTTATATAAGTCTTATTATTTCTTTCCTCTTCCTCTCTCACCTAACTTTGTATTGGAATTTGAAGTTTTAAATAAACTGAACTAGTCTTCAATAATGATGTAAATATGTCAAGAGTATTGTTACGTGAGATCTGCCTCTTAACACGTTTACGTGTATCTTCATGGATAATTTGGTACCATCCGAAAAGTCTCTCCTTTATTATTGTTTATTAGAGAAGTATAAATAAACAAATGGCTGATATATTCGTTGCTTGCTTTCCTCGAATACCTCTAACTGACAGTACCTTGTCCTTTATTGTTATTTAATGAGACAAGTAATTACTACGCATGGTATAATGATAATGCTTTTGATTAGTTTATAAGATACGTTATTTAAACCTTAAATTAGTGTAAATGAGGCAAAGCTGCCTTCTTAAACTCCATATAATTTTGTCTTTATTAATTGATATCCATTCGTCTTCATGCTCTAGGATTTTAGATTCTAGCAAGGACCATTTGAAGGCTTGCGCAGCCCATAAATATCGCTGCGTCTCCATCACTTTCATTCTGTGTCGGCCACTTTTTACTTTATTCCCGAACACCAAGACAAACCAATAGACACTGCCAGAAAGGAGAGATGAAAGAGAAAAAGAAAATTCAAAGGATATTAATCAAATTATGCAAAACCTCATGATTAAGCTAGGGAGATTCAACAGCATATCAAATATAATTCTCCTTTAACCCTTTTATTAATTTTGAGAGTGTCTTAAAGCTTCTGCCCACAATCACAAGTCCAACTGCTGCAACGTACTAAAGACACATTGACCAAGACTTGTAACTCTTTGAACGTTAGTTTCCAGCAAACATGACATATTTTCCTTTATGGGGTAACATTTTTGTATATCTGTTTCGGCCTCAATTTTTGACTACTCTGTTTGGACTTTTTCAGCATAAGCAAACAAAAAGCAGCTTCAGGAAAAGATTTGAGATTGGATACACCCACAAATATTTTTCACTCTTACTCTTTCTAAGCCGTGAAGTTTGTCTAATAATACGTACAAGAGAATAACCAATGGGATAACTTATCATTTAGATCCATAAAATATGCTTGTGCCATCAGATTAGCCCCTGAAAGGAAAATGACTATTTGGTGCTTGATTTGAACGGTTAACATTATATTTATGCTTCTCAACTATATATATATGTCTTAGTTTTTAATATGATGAAGTCAGCAACCAAATTGATAAAACAATCAGGTGATCTTAGCACTTAACAACCATCTGTTTTGAAACTTTGCAGGATACTTATGCATTGTGCCGTGTGTTCAAGAAAAATGGAATCTGCTCTGAAATTGAAGAGCAAGGGCAAAGTAGTTTAACACTAATTGAGAGCTCACAAACCATAAACATTAATAATGAAAGTGAAACCATGTCTCCAGATCCAGCTGGGGCATCTTCATGCTTGGAGGAGGAAGACAAAGATGATTCATGGATGCAGTTCATTACAGATGATGCATGGTATCCTTCTAATGCAGCCATGGCAGGCTGTGAAGAAGTTTCTCACTTTACATTCACAAACTGATATGCCAATGACCATTGGCAGGCCAGATAGGTGGTGGGGAATAACACTTGAGAGCTGAATTCATAAAACAAAAGACATATATACATCTGTTTGCAAGATTCCTTCTGCTTCTTCTTTTTGTATATTAGTATATGCTTCATTGATCAAGATGGTTTGATTTTTTTTTTTCCTAATATTATTATAACAGTCAAGTATACCTTGGGGTTTTGGGTGACAATCTTCATTAAGGGTGGCTAAACAAAGGTTGATGGTTTGGTGTAAGATCTGGAAAATTTTTATGGATTGGTCAGGGGTGTTATTACTTATGGAATAAAGAAAAATACCAGAATATTTGTTAACCTTCTTATTGTAGTATTCTTGGTTATTTTTAAGGGTAATTTTAGTGCAAGGCAATTGAAAAAGTTTGAACATGACTTTCAAGTTCAAATTTATTTTATTTTGGCCTTCATCACCAGAACCAAATATATAGTTTCAATTAAGTATTTTTCCTTTAGATGAGATAATTAGACTACTGAATGACTGAAGAAACAAGTCAAACCTTGGAAGCTTAAAAATGTGTTTGAACTAAGAAAGAAGGAAGACAAATATGTGAGTGTGCTCACAAATTTTCCCCTCCCATTTTTATCCTTTTTTCCTGTATTCTAAATACATTCCAATAAAAATATAAATAGAATAACAAAAAATATAAGTTAGATTTTCTTTTCCTTCACCTTTTATTCCATTCTTGTTCATCTAAACAAAGTCTAAAAATAAATTTAGTCCACAAAAGAAACTTTTCAGTGAAACTTACCGTTAACACATCAACATGCTTAATTTACAACTGACTCATCAACCTATCTCATAATGCTGGGACTAAATAGGAATATTTGTGTTTTGTTGGTACTAGGACGTAATAAACAACAACAACGAGACTCAATGGAGATTCAAAAATTGCACATGCAGAGAGCCACCTCAACAATCACTTAGCTTTGCAAAGTGAAAGTTCCAGATTGAAGTAGCAAAGAGAAAATGTGGTGTAAACTCTGTTCTCTCCATATGGGAAGCACTTTGGAATTCTAATCACACCTTCCATTGCTCAAATTGCTCAGAGCTTAACATGAAAGAGCTTGCATTTCCGTGTCCCCCACCTCCAAATTCCTTATAAAAGACCAAGAAACGATATAAATTTAGATTCCTTGTTTACAAATTGCACATACAATGAAATGAGCACATAATGATTTATATAGAAGCAACCTGAGAGATGGGAGTTGTATCTTCATTGCCCAAACTCCTTAGACTTATTTTCAGCATATTATGATTTCCAATCTCTGGGACTTTATATACAACAGCTCCAATGGCCCTACAAAGGAAATGGATGCATCACAAATCTGACATCTCAACGAGATTATAAATTTGATGGAATAAGTTTTTGTCCATCAATTGCTGAGGGGAGAGTAAGAACCCTTGAAAACCTAGCAAAACAGCCTCATACTTTGCTAAACTAAGTTTATCTGTTTCTTTATAAATTCTAGGCCTCTATTTCTGGGAATCTGGAAGTTTATTTGCAAAGTGGATTCTAAACCAAGTCAAACTCCAATAAGAAAATCAGTAGTTTAATATCATGTTACCGCTGCAATCATAACATTTGAGGCACTGACTAACATACTTATATTTGAAATTTTTACTGCAAGGTTATTGTGCGCCGTTTCATCGTTTTTCTCATAACCCTTCACAGAAAAAACAGGGGAAAAAAAACAACAAATACTTATACTTTACCCCCTTCTGCACAAAAGCTTGATGTATGTTATAAGTTTCAGGCCTTTTACTGTCGTGAACTTTTTTCCCCTTTTATGGAACAAGTAATTTATAAATGACCTTCATGGCAAAATAACCAGATTGACTGAGGCATGTCATAGCCAACATGCTACGACAAAAAGGATTTTCTGAGCAGAAATACAGATAATAGATGCAAAACAAAAATAATTATTGTTGGATGTTGGTTGGAGGTGAGTACCCTAAATGTTAACATTGGAATTTATATTTAATGACATGATACAAACCTCAACTTTAGATTTTGGCTCTTAGAGGCTAACTGATGTCCCAATTCACTTCTCAGCTCTGAAAGAGCAGCATCTGCATTTACAGCCTGCAAATAACACAAGCAACTATACTCTCAATCGAACCATATTTCGTAGCGCATTAAAGAACAAAGGAATATGTAAAAGTATATAACATTGTGCTCAGTAAATTAGATCAGAATCAAAGTTTGAAGCTTACAATGAGCATTGTATGTACTAATGCATCACATCCATGTCAAGTATGATGACTTAAAATGAAACAAATTGCCAATGGGTGGCTACAATCTGTTAGAAATATAACTACAAATAACCCTACTTCTCTGGACTTTTAAATAGAACTCATTAAAATTTTCCCTTAGGGTAAAGAAAAGAAAGAGAGATTCGAAGAGAAAAAATCAACAATACCAAGCACGAGCCATAAGCACCACCACCAAGTGCGATTCTGTATGACTGGCTGAGACAATCATCCATCAACTTTTGCTTGCATGATAAGCTCGCCATGCCTTGACTGATTACCGAGTCAACATTCAATGACAATAACTGTTCAAATCCAGAAAATTATCATTTATTTCAAGTATTCCCAAATTCATGGGATCAGAGTGAAAAAGTAAAAACAAATAAACTATGTCAGTACATCAGATATTGGTGCCGGTGCCAACAAGTCAAAGAGAAGGAAAATACTGGTGCCACTAATTTGTCAGTACATCAGATATTGGTGCCAGCAAGTCGAAGAGAAGGAAAATACTAGTGCCACTAATTTGTCAATAAGAGAGTAATCATATTTAAGAAATTATTACACCTAAGCAATACATCTCTCATAAATATAAAAAAAAAAATAGAAATGGCAGGACAACGGGCTTTATCTCCTTGAAGCTGCAAAAGGTCTACTGCGGAAAGTTAAACGGGTCATTTATCTTATAAAAATCATGGTTTCATTCAAACTAAGACAGTTCTTTAGTGCAACAACAACTTCTAAACATTAATAAAAAGCCAAGGTCAACAGGATTGTGTGCAAAAATATTTGATTTTAACTCTTCTGGAAAGCCAGAAGAGACTCAAGTTCTATACCATGTAGCTGTTATCACAACATTCTAACACACTTTGAAATTTCATAGTGAAAGGCTATAATAACAAGTAAGAAGAAATGTAGAAAATCACCTGGTCAAACAAGGAAGGGTTTAAACGGGCGTCAAACTCTATGTTCAGTCTTTCAAACCACTGTTGAAAGCCTTGCTGTTTTGGAGTTTCCATCTCCAAAGGTCTGCATCTTCAATGTAATCATAAAGTTGCCGGACACCCTCAAATTGCTTTAGCACCGATTGATGTTTAGCATCAGCAACTGAACTAAGAAGCTTCTTTTTAAAGTAATCAAATGCAATGGTTGCCCCACTCCTCTCCCTATCAATCACTTTAATCACATTCTTATCAGCCGAGCTCTCACTACCTAACTTCTCAAGCGCAGTCTTGTGATGGTCCAAAATAATTACTCTACATATGAAAACCATAATAAATTGATGAAATATAAATATTATCCTCGATAAAGCATTAAATGAAAGGATGACAAGAACAAA